AGTCGATTTAACATAAATCTTGTTTAGTATGCTTTCAAAGTGAACCTAGCCTAAATTAGGACTTTTGAAGGTTATAACGTGGTTGTGGTTTATGGTTTTAGAAACAAAATATATAAGGCTCAAAATTTATTTATCCCACCCCATTCTCCTTGATTTTCTCCAATCCTAAGTTCAATTAACCGATAGATGCGTTTAATCCCCAAGAGAAATTTCGCAGTTGCACAGATGAGAGAAGCGTTGGTAAGATTCAAACACCGATGAAAAAGCATTGGTAAGATCCTAGCATTGATGAGAAGCCTTGATGATTCTTAAGGTGGCAGTCACAAGATTTTTCTCCAAAATTTTTATTTTCAATCCCTTATTTTTGCACGGACCGATTTTTTTGAATTTTTTTTGAATTTGCTCCATCGGGATGCCCTAACTTTTGCCTAAGTTAAGTTTTGATTTGCTTTGACTTATTGGACTTTCTCTATATTTTTTTTATTTCTTCTTTTTTTTGCTTTTGATTTTGACAATTTGTGACTGCCATGTTGATTGTTGTAAGCTTCACCTTTATCGCTTCCTCGATCTTGATTGATGTACTGAGGAGAAAGATGTTGTGATCTTTGTCTTAGTTGATTCCTCAATCCTGTAAGATGAACGCGAGGAAAATGATACACCCGAATCTTTGCTTAGATCATTTTCTCAATGATGTATCGAGGAAAGAGATATGCTTGAACCATTGCTTAGATTGTTCCCTCGATGATGCATCGAGGAAAGAGATATGTTTGAACCATTGCTTAGATTGTTTCTATTCTCCTAGGATTTGAATGCATCGTCGAATTAATTGAAATGTACCCTTCCCCTGGTTAAGATTATGGTTTTTTTAGAGAATAAAAAGAACTCCAACTTCTGGCTCGAGGGGGTTAACTACAGATTAACACCTTATATCTCCACTGTTTAGGAATTGAAACAATGCCTTACATCGTCAGCTAAGCCTTACTATTAAAAGCATACGTCAGCAAAATTTGATTATTTTGTATTTTTATCATTCTCCCTCAAAGATTATTAATTTGAAAATGGAAAGGACGAGTGAAAAATGGAAAGCCATTGATTATTTGTGGATTGGATCGATTTCAAAAGCATGCATGCTTATTTTGTTAGAATTACAAATCTAAAGGTACAAATTTATTACAAATGAAAAGTTAGCAAGAAAGAAATTACAATTTGAAATGATAAAGCCTAATTATCCTATAGATAAGCGTATGTAATGATCCATCAATCAGGGTGAGGGGTTTTCCATCATATGTGGGCCATCTTCTTCAAAAGTTAATTGCTTATTGTCAATTAGCTCTTGTATCACTTCTTTGAATGAGTTGCATTCTTCACCATGAAAATCACATTGAACATTCGGGTTATACCAAGGAGGAAATGAAGACTTCATGAATCTGGTTTATCTAGGGGTCATTGATGAATTTTGGACCAGGTATGACCATAATTGATTGTATGTCATAGGGATCGGGTCAAACTAGCGAGTTTCCCCTTCCCGACTATTTGGACGCCTATGCTGATTCGGGCGTTGATGGTGATTGTTTCGATTCCGAGCCTATCAATTTTGACGTCGATGTTGAGGTGAAATCTTAACCTATTGGTTCTGTGGCATAGGCCATGGCTGCTGGTGTTGAAGACCAGAGGATGGTTGTTGGCACTTAGCATCTACTGTATATGAATGTTGATGATAAGGCACCGGAGATGGAGTTTCGGGAGCGTGGTAAGTTCCCCAAATAGAATTTGTTTCATTTTCTTCTTCCTCTTGGAAATCTCTAAGGTATTCACTAGTCGAGCTACTCGAGACGCTTCAGATTTTTCCAGTTTTGATGTTGTTCTCGATGCGTTCCCTAGCTATTTATAGGTCGGAGAAGCGTGATGGTATATTGCCCAACATTTTTTCATAGTATTGACCCTGTAGGGTGCTCATGAACACGTCTACCAAATCCTTATCCAATAATGGCGGTTGTACTCGAGCAACCAACTCTCTCCATTTCGGTGCGTATTCTTTGAAAGATTTGTTACCCCTCTGATATAAATATTGCAATTGCATGCGACTTAGAGCCATGTCGATGTTGTATTGATAATGTCTCTGAAATTCCAAAGCCAAGTCTTTCCAGGTGGGGACATGGTTTCTTTCCAATTGTGTATACCATTCTAATGATGCTCCACTAAGACTGTCTTGAAAACAGTGAATAAGCAATTTGTTGTCACGTGGGTATGCTGCCATCTTCCTAACATACATCTTCAAATGGGTCTTAGGGCAACTAGACCCTTTGTACTTTTCGAAATCTTGCATCTTAAACTTCTGAGGAAATACCACGTCTTCAACCAAACATAAAGTAGAAACATCAAAGTTATGAGTGTCCTATCCTTCCATGGTGCTAAGCCTTTTCTCCAACACGCGTTATCTTTTGGTGTCCTCAGCATCTTGGGGCTCTTCAGTATTCATGGTCGAGTTTTCCCCTTGGGGTTTCGGCACAGGGAATGCAATTTGATGATACTCAATAGATTTGTGGGATGGAGTATACCCATATTGGAAAATGGCGTGTTCTTGCACATCAAGGTTCTTAATTGAAGCTTGTATAGGCCGGAGTCGAGCCTGGCTGTTTTCTTGAGGTGTAATGACATCCTTAGTTATGGCTTGTTGACCTTCTTCCAATGTTGTAGCAAATGTTACATTTTCTTCGTGAGCTGTCTCGAGTTCTTTCTGAGTATCTGGGAATCACCTTCTTGGACTACGGTTGGAAGTTTTCTTTGAGTGGAAGAGAAATGAGTTTTATGCAGATGGATGAAAATTGAAAATGCATGAAAATGCTTGGTTATGCAAGAGTATAAAAAATTCATGGATATGCAATGTGATGTAGACGTAGTATGAGGGTAGACGTAGGGGTACCCTATACAAGTTTAATGTGATGATACCCTATACTGACCCAGAGATTAAGACAGGCAGAAACTCCTTGAGGATTATGGGCAATGAAAAACGACGAGTAATCTCTATAGGGGTGATGATATAGACGGAAGCCCTACGGGCTAAAGATAGTAGTGGGTGATGGGATGACCCTTGCGAGTTTGCATATTGTAGTGGGATTTGTGAAAGGTATCCTCAGAAGGTACATTCTTAGTATAGGCCTACAGATATTCTACCCTCCCTATAAGGTGGTCTCCTTAAGGGTATCGTGAATAACACTAGAGGGAAAGGCATAAGGGCCTCCCTTAAGTGGAGTCTCTTTACAAACTGAAACTTTGGTCTCTAGGTCATGAAAGGTCTCATCAGGAGTTTTTGGTTTAAAGGCCGTACAAAGAGTTATAGGTGTCATTCCAAAGTCCTACTTCCTAAGAGGATATCTCTCGAAAAGTATTTCTTTTGCGGAATTCTACCGACTCTAGGCGAAGTCGTCACATAAACTCATAGGGTTGATGTAACCCCTTGGCTAATAGACGGGCCTTCTTTCTAAGGGTATTGAGAATGATTTTGCTAAATTTAAATCCCACCACAGATAATATAACAAATAATAACAAAAATAAGCAGAAAATAAATAAATAATTAAATAAGAAAATAAAAACCCAAAAAAAAAAGAAACACCCAAAAACCTAAAGATAAGGCCTCTAAACCTAGGGTTGAGTCCCCAACAGAGTCGCTAGTTGTTGCAACTGATTTTTAAATCAGAGTCGCCACTCTTAACTTTTATCCTAAAGGAAGGGGATATAAAGGAATAACCCTAAAGTTCATATATTCTAGATTTGGACTCGGCTCTAGACGAGGGGAAGGTGTTAGGAACCCCTTATCTACCTTGTTCGCAAGGATACTAGGTTTAGAAGTGCGTTCTTAGGAAATATAATTTTTAATTATTATTGGGGAAAAAGGGTTTGAATTTTTGTTAAGGGGAAAAGGGTTTAAATTTTAGTTAGCGGGAAAAGAGTTTTAATTTTAGTTAACGGGACTGACCATGATTTGATCGTATGCCTACGTATCCTCTTAGGAGGAATCAGATTCTCATTTCGTAGTTCGCGGTTTTGTTTGTGTTTTTTATGGATTGTAGAAATATCTCAAATTATCTTTGAACCAAATACAGGTTTGTAAATTGCAGAATCATGGATATAACTCGTAGTCGATAAAATATATTAATACAACCCTTTTTTGAAAGTATAAATTTGACTAGTAAAATAATTGATTTGAGGTTAGTTAGTTGTATTAAAACGTAGAGCAAGGGAGTCTGATATAGTCTCCTCATCACGTGGCCAAATATTAGCCAAATGTTGCTCGTCATGAAGTACGCGGAGGGAGTCTGATATAGTCTTTCTTGTCACGTGGTCAGATATTGGCCACATGTTACTCGCGGATGGTGAATTTGATGAATTGTGCGGGTTTTAATGTTTTGATATTTGAATAATAAATCGATAGACGATGTGTCGACGGATTTAATTATCTGAATATGGACTTCCTATTATTTATAGAATGTCTGAATTAATTTAATTGTTATTTTATTATAGATATTGGTTAATGATTATTGTATATTTGAATTTTTATTAGACTAAAATAATAAACTAAACTTCTCTAAGCAAAATAACCTAATAAACTAGTTATGAATTTTTTGTATTTTTATTGTATTTTATATACCAAGCTAATCTAAAGTCCAATTAAACAATACTATTAAATGTTAGTATCACTTGAATATTATTATTATATTTTTATGAAAATAAGTGAAAATACAAAAAATAAATATAAATCTACAGTCACGTTTACATTTACACTATGGCCTTTTTAAAAAAAATTAATTCTAAGATAATAATGACTAATAACAATAATTATTAACAATCAAAATAAATAGTTAATATATTGACCTTTCAAACTTACCCCTCCCCACAAAAAGAAAAATGTCACTTATCTCTCTTTCTTGAATGTTATCTCTCTTCTCAAACACAACACACTTTTTACAGCAAAAACCAAATAAAGATGCATCTATTTTTACATGAACACAATAAAAAAACTTCTCTCTCTCAATCAACGAACATCAAAAATGAAAAGCGTAAAAGAAAATCTACAGATTTATACCACCAAGTCTCGATCAGCAACAGTTGGTATGACTGTAAAGTGCAGCGTTTGGGCGGTTCCCGGTGATAGTGGGTCGGTTTATGTCATCGGGTTCAGCAATGGAGGTGCGGGATCTATCGGGAATCCTGAGGCGTTTTGGTGCACAGAGTTACTGTCACATATGGTGTCTTAGATCTTTTCATCAGAAGTCGCGTATGTTCGATAATGACTACCAATGATGACATTCGGCGGCGAGATAGCAACGACTACACGAAGGCTTTCTTTTCGATCCAGATGGGCTTGATATGTTATTGAGTGAGACTTCTTTTGCAACACTGTAATAAAGAAAAAAGAAAAAGAACAAAATATTTGTTGTATTAAGTGAGACCTGTTTATTGCATATGGTTTGAGTTAATTGTGTGGTTTTGAGAAACAAGTTTTTTTTTCTTCTCTTATTTATTGCCTCTGTGTGCAATATGTAGTTTAACAGGTTTTGAAAAAATGATGATGATATATACATGGAGATCATGGGTTTAAATAGTTAGAAAGAAAGAAGTAAGTATATAATTGGTAAAAAGGGAAAAGAAAATTAGTAAAAGTTATTAATATAAATTATTAGAATTTATATACAAAAGCAATCAGAAGAGAAAAATGATGAAAAACGGATTAACTTGTTGACTCAATAATAATAAAGAAAATGGCTATACAATGGTTAGTCAAAATATATACAGGGTGGATGTTTTGTAGAGACAAACTAAGAGTTTGAATATGTAGCAACAATTGTGTGTGAATAAAAAGAGAAAAAAAGTAGTTCCTCAAAAAATTGTTAGAACAATAATATAATTAAGCAATAAGCATCGAGATCATCACGTGATTAAAAACATCTGACATATTGAAAAACTCATAGAGAGTTGATAAGCATCGAGATCATCACGTGATTAAAAACATCTGACATATTGAAAAACTCATAGGGAGTTGAAAATATCCGGGGAACCTCAAATTAAATCATCGGCCAAAAACCAAAAAGAAAATTGAAAATAAACCTTAAAAAGAGATTGAGAAAAAATGTGTGAGAAATTGTAAATGAATTGTGAATTCTGGATGAATTCTGTATATTGTGGATGATCTAGAAGTGTGAAAAACATGTCTTATTTATAGATAGAAAAATCATCCAAATTGGAAATAACACAAAATTGACCAATCAAAAATAAAGTGTAACACAAATTGATATCAAATGGCCAATAAGAAACACCCATTTAAAAAGGAAAGAATGTTGAAAATATTGAAAGTGCAGCACAAGAGATTCAAACTCGTGACCTTACGCTTGCAAGCTTCATTCTTCATCAATTGTGTTGTATTACTCATTTGTAAGTAAACTCAATTTGAAAGAATATGAAAGGTGTGCACATATTTGCTATTTTTAAAAATACAAATAATTTGAAATGAATCATTATATTTTTAAATAGGTTTAGAAGCGAATATTTATAAAAATGAAATAATATTATAAAAACAAAGTTTAAAATATTTTTGACTGACCTTGAGAATGAACATCTATAAAAATCAAATGATATTATAAAAACAAAGTTTAAAATATTTTTGACTGTACTTGAGAATGAACATCTATAAAAATCAAATAATATATAAAAATAATGTTTAAAATACTTTTGACTGTAGAAATAAAAGGACAGGAAAATTTGGGGTATGACAGTCTTCACCATTTTCTGGATGATCTTCTTGATGTTTTTAGTTGAAGCTTCAATGGCCCCGTTCTTCTTATATCGATAAGGTGATGAATTATGATGCTCGATTTTGAAATCGTCACATAACTCCTTCATCATTTTATTATTCAAGTTGGACCCATTGTTGTAATGATTCTGCTAGAAATTTCATATCTGCATATGATATTTTGCTTGATAAACCGGATAACCACGTTCTTCGTCACATTTGTATAAGAAGCGGCTTCTACCCACTTGGTGAAATAATCAATGGTGACCAATATGAATCAATGTCTATTGGAAGCCTTTGGTTTGATAATTCCTATCATATCAATTCCCACATCGAGAATGGCCATGGTGAACTCGGTACGTTTAGCAGAGTTGGTGGCACATGCACCTTGTCAGTGGAGATTTGACACTTGTGGCATGTCTCATATAATGGTAGGAGCCAGCTTCCATCATCGACCAATAGTAACCTGCTCTTATGATTTTTCTAGCCATGGAATATCCATTTGCATGAGTCCCAAAGGTTCCTTCACGGACCTCTTTCATAAGATGTTTGTTTCGTGTTTCTCCTCACACCTGAGTAGAACCATATCGTAGTTTCTTTTTTACAATACGTCTCCATTTAAGAAGAACTTTGCTGCTAGCTTTCATAAAGTTTGCTTGACAATTATTGAGGCATTTTATGGATATTCTTGCTTTTCTAAATGCCTCTTGATGTCGTAGAACCAAGGTTTGTTATCTGGACCTTCTTCAACTATAAGACAACGTGCAGGCTCTTTGAAATGTCTGATCGTGATGCGTGGTTCATGATTAGGCCAAGTTACTTTGAACATGGATAACAAAGTTTCCAAGGCATCCGCCATCTGATATTTTTCTCGAGGAATGTGAGTGAAAGTAATCTCTGTGAATTCTATAGCTAGCTCCAAAACATGATCTCAGTATGGCATTCATTTGGGATGTCGTGTGTTCCATTCACCGTTGACTTGGTGTATGACTAGTGTGAAGTCCCTATATACTTCGAGGAACTTGATCCTTAGATCAATAGCAGCTTCTAAACCCAACATGCAAGCTTCATATTCAAGAATATTATTGGTGCAATCAAAATATAACCTTGCAGTATAAGGTTTAAGAAAATTCTTTGGAGAAGTTAATACTGCCCCAATTCCATGTCCTAGTGAGTTTGAAGCACCATCAAACATGAGTGTCCATCGTGCCTCTAGTTCAGGTCCTTCATTGGGTCCTGGTATTTCATAGTCTCCTAAAACCATGATGTCTTCGTCCCGGAAATCAAACTTCATTGGTTGATATTCTTTCATTGGTTGATAAGCTAAGTGATCAGCTAGTATACTGTCTATGATGGCCTTTTGTGTAACATATAGGATGTCGTATTCAGATAATAACATCTACCATCGAGCAATTATTCCTGTGAGAGCTGGATTTTTAAACACATACTTCAAAGGATACATTCTCGCTATTAACCATGTTGTATGAGTTAACATATACCGTCTCAGTCGTTTATGGGTCCACGCAAGAGCATAACAAGTCTTCTCGAGGAATGAGTATTGGGTCTCGCAGTCAATAAATTTCTTGCTTAGGTAGTAGATGGCATGATCTTTTCTACTTGTTTCATCATGTTGACATAATACACATCCCATGGAACCTTCGAGAACAATCAGGTACATAGTAAGTGGTCTTCTGGGAACTAGTGGTATCATAATTGGTGGTTCTTGTAGTAATTACTTTATTGTTTCAAAGGGTATTTGATAATCTTCATTCCACTTCATTGATTGATCATTTCTGAGTAATTTGAATATAGGCTCGCAAGTGGAAGTTAGGTGCGATATAAATCGTGAGGTGTAGTTTAATCGTCCTAAGAAACCACAAATCTCCTTTTCTGTTCTCTTAGCTGGAATTTCTTGTATGGCCCTTACTTTGTCAGGATCCACCTCAATACCATGTTGGCTTACGAGGAAACCCAATAGTTTAATTGACCTGACACCAAATGTACATTTGTTCGGATTCAACCTCAGTTTGAACTTTCTTAGACGCTTGAATAATTTCTGCAAGTGAATGATATGGTCCTCTTCTGTCTGGGATTTAGCAATCATATCTTCTGAATTTCTAGTACGAAAGATTCAAATGTCCTAAGAGGATGCCGATACACTTGATCTGATCGTAACATCATGTCAAGGAATAAACATTAAATAACGGTACTGAAAAGTAAACAACACATTAAAATTGTTAACCCAGTTCGGTCTAACTACCTACTCTATGGGCATACCTAGCTAGGATCAAGTCCAATATGATAGTATCAATTTGAAGCTAAACTACCCCATTTACAACTTTGCACTTAATCACTACCCGTGCTATACTTCTACCTAAGACTCACCTAGGTATAAGGCTCTCCTTAAATCCTCTTCAATCACGGACAGCAATTGGACAGCAATAGGAAGACACACCTCCATGACAGCACAACAGAAGACATACTTCCATGACAATACATAGATAATACCTAAATCTAAACTCCACCATTTACAGCTTTACTCGTCACTAAGAACAACAACTTGGAGTTTCTTAAAATATTCCTCCAAGAACAATACTCATTCTTGATTCCCAGCTTTGAGGAGAACACAATGACCATTTCACAATCCGAGTGGTTCACTTTCACCAACTCTCCTAGAGAGTGGCTAAGGACTCAGCCCTAACGACTACATCTTGATAATTCACGGCTGGTCATCAATCTTAGATTACAATTATTATATTTATAAACTAGTACCAACTGGACTCGGCCCTTCAATCACAACTTGTCAACTGTTACAATTCTGCAGAAGATTCTGCGCAACAATAGGTCTTTAATAATTTGTTTCCTAAATTATCTCCATAATTAGAAACTGCATAATCTTTGACTTGATTCTTCATGACCTATAAAACAGTGCCATATAGGATAATATAATATCCTAAAATATATTATGTCATTGTGACTTAAAAGAGTAAACAAATCATTTCAGCCCAGGCACAATGTCGAATGAACCTGCATAGGACATATTCTTCAACATGTTGCTCTAGATGTTGAAATACTTCAACTCAATATGTCTCAACATAAGATAGGATTTCTTGCACAATCTGTTCTTGTTAGCAAGTACACACATCATATGTAACATATTGCTGCTCTATTAGTTTTACCAATAATGCCAATTACATGATTCAGAGAATTAATATCTTCCATATAAACTTTGACTTCTTTGTGGATCATGTCATGAAATAGTGTGACAATTGCATGTTGATAGGTTTCCCCTGTGTTCTTTAGACTGAAGGGAATTACTTTGTAGCATAAGGTGCCCTAAGGAGTCATAAAAGTAGTCTTTTCCATGTCTTCGGGAGCCATCTTGATCTAATTATATCCTGAGAAACCATCCATGAAAGAAAACACTGAAGCTTGAGCTGTATTGTCCACCAAAACATCAATGTGAGGTAGCGGGAAATCGTCTTTAGGACTTTCTTTGTT